TTGAACTTCTTCTGTTTGTGCATCATGAGTCTGACTGTGGATTGGTGGAGTCCAAACTCTTTAGAGATGTCTGATTTCAAAGAGGTGAGAACTGGCCACATTCCAACCAGTCAAACACTAGTGCGATATCCAGGTCATTCCTTTGTTGTGTGGGCAGGTCCCAGTCTGTCTGAATATAAACTAGGAAGATGTGTGACATGAGCTGATATACTTTGATTGGTAGTCCAGGCCCTGGGACAATTCCTGCCTGTGATGATCTGGGATGTAGCTGTCTGACATGCTGACATAGCCAAGCAGGGGTTGATCATCAGATGAGATGTTGTGAGGGTGGCAGTACATATCATCTGCATTGAGGTGTTTAGTGCCACTACAGTCCATCCATGGTGGTCTAGTTGGACTGCCCAAAATGGGTGAGGTCAATGCATGTTCCAGCATCTTGAAAGCATCACTGGCATCTGGAGACCCTTCAAAGGGCACTTTTTATGAGTGAAATGATCCATTTTTTTTCAGTATTAGAGGGCTCAGGCTGAATACCCTCACTAGAGACTCAAACAAGCTTTTGCTTTGTCATAGTTTGTTTTCACACACGCAGGTAAACTTTGCCAGTATGAAAATCCAAGGCCACTGAGTTTAGCAGTGTTAAACTTTGTTGTGGTCTTACTGAGATTTGGGACTATGGGTTAGATTGGTTGGTAAAAGGTAGTGAGGACAAAGGAACAAAGACGCGAAGAGGACTCAGCATTGAAGTTTGTATTACTTCGTATTACTGCAGACTAGACAGAACAATAATACACTCTGCTGGGTCTCCCTCTCTCCTGCTCACTCGCTCGCTCCCTCATTTGTTCCACCCCCTTCACATACATCACACTGACATCTTTCTTAATTTTTTTAAGAGGCTTAGTGACTAGCACATTCACAGATTATCTAACTAACAATTATAATGATTGTGAATTGTTGCTCTTACAATTAGAAAATCATTTATTTGCTATTCTAGTTGTACCGAAGAGCTCATACAAACTTGTTTGGTCTGTAGAAAAGCCAAGGTGCCTCTCTTTACTTGGCTTTGCCCATTTATTTTTTACTTTAAAAGTATATTTATTTTATTTTATTAGATTTTAGTTGCTAGCATATCCTGTAGTAAATGGCTTGTTGTTGACTGATTGACATAGAAATAAATGCAGAATAAAAAAAAATAGTAAATTCTTTGGTTTATTGTTATTGTTTTTATTTTACTGTTTAGTTTAATTAGGGGAAAAACACCTCTATGATGATGCTAATTTATGTTAGCTCACCTACGGAGATTTACATAAAAAAGATTTTTGGTTATTCTACAACCCTATTTCCAAAAAAGTTGGGACGCTGTGCAGAATGTAAATAAAAATAGGATGCAATGATGTGCAAATCATGTAAACCATATTTTTTAAAGGAAAATACTACAAAGACAACAAATCAAATGTTGAAACTGAGAAATCTTATTGTTTTTTGAAAAAAGGAGCCCATTTTTAATTTGATGTCGACAACACATTCCAAGAAAAGTTTGGAGGGGGCCTGTTTACCACTGTGTTTCATCACCTCTTCTTTTAACAGCACTCTGTAAGCGTTTGGGAACTGAGGAGACACTGCTGTAGTTTTGAAAGTGAAATATTTTTCCGTTCTTGTTTGATACAGGATTTCAGCTGCTCAACAGTTCAGGGTCTCCTTTGTCATAATTTTCATTTCATAATGCACCAAATGTTTTCAATGGGTGACAGGTCTGGACTGCAGGCAGGTCAGTTTAGCACCTTGACTCTTTGAATATGAAGCAATGCTTCTGTAATATACGCAGAATGTGGTTTGACATCGTCTTGCTGAAATAATCAAGGCCTTTCCTGAAAAAGACTGTCTGGATGGCAGGATATGTTGCCAAAACATTATATATCATTCAGCATTAATGTTGCCTTCACAGATGTGCATGTCACCCATATCATGTGCACTAATGCCCCTTATACCATCATGAATACTGGCTTTTCTACAGCTGAACAGAGGAGGACTTCACAACCGAATAGACTTGTGGAGTGTCATGGGGCCACCAGCATCTGGGCAACTTCCACGCTGACCAGATGTCACCTAAACTAGGCCAGACCTCTGAAACTTACACCAGGGACTCTCATGGTAACCCCTGTGCCTGTGGAAAGTGGAGTCTGGGAACACCAGTGTCGCAGAAGACAGCATGGATCCCAACCATCGCCTCAGCCTGAACTCACCACCAGCAACAGATTTGAAGTACTGAGCTCTCTCTCATCCGTTTTAGTAATTGGCGACTCAATCGTGCAGAATGTGAACTTGGCTCCCAGTGGTGGACAGTAACTAGGTAAATGTAATTTGTTTCTGTACTTAAGTAGTTTTTTCCTGTATCTGTACTTTACTGAAGTTTTTCCATTTTGGGCGACTTTTTACTTTCACTCCTCTACATTTCAAAGTCAAATATCTCACTTTTTACTCCACTATATTATGCAATTCCTGTCATTCCTTTTGGTTTATGTGTGTATAAAAACATAACATGTCAAAACAAAAGAAGCGCAAAAAGGAAGAACACCAATCAGAGCACAGCGGTCACTTTGTTTTGAGCTTGTTTTGACCTGTTGGTCATACTGACCCAGTGCAGCACACGGTTCAACATCAGTGCAGCAGCATAAAATTGTGGGAGAGTCTGTTCAACATAAATGATGAACTAACCTAACTTTGTGTAAACAGACCACAATATAGAAATATGTACACACATGCAGTTGTGACTGACGTGTCTTTTTTCTGAATTTATACAAACAATATTTCATTTTATAGTAAATTAGTTTTGGCTAGTTTATGTTTATGAACAGAGACCTACAGATGCAGTTTAGTAAAGGAAACTCATTTGTGAATCTGAGTTTAAAGTTTTTATTAAACTTAAACTTGTAACTAAGTTCAAACAAATCTTAAACTGAAACTTTGCTTGTTTGTAAAAAGTGATTTCAGAGCCACTCAGTTCTACCTGATGGAAACTGTTTGCCTTCAGTGTTTTGTGCTTATGATAATTTTAATAGACATCAGCATCACTAATTAATGACATTCTATTAAAAGACTGGTTTACCAAGAGAGACACTGGAGTATTTTCACCTAAACTGAGTTAATGAAGCGAGTCTTGTTACAAAAATGATAATGACATCAGAGTCATAATTAATCTTTTAGTACTTTCGCTTTTGATACTTAAGTACATTTGAAGGCAAATACTTTTGTACTTTTACTCAAGTGGAGGTCTAAAGGGAGGAACTTCTACTTTTACTGGAGTAATATTTTACCTTGGGTGTCTCTACTTTAACTCAAGTACATGATTTGTGTACTTCGTCCACCACTGTTGGCTCTAGCTAAAGGTAAAGCATCTGTTATATCCCTCTCTGGTGCTTGAGTCATGGATATCGCACAAAAACTTTTAAAAGACCATTTTACAACACTATTGTGTAGAGTACAGGAAGAAACAACAGCCAGAGTTGTAGTTTCTGGTCCTCTGCTAATGTTTAGAAGAGGAAAAGAGATTTTTAACAGACTCTACGTGCTAAACGAGTGGCTGAAAAGGTGACAATAACTTGGATTTTATTGACAATTGGAACACTTTTTGGGAAAAACTTTCTCTTTATTACAGAGATGGACTCCACCTAAGTTGCTACAGATCTACGTTTTTATCTTCGATCCACCCAAATACGCACCGTCCTTCTTACCAGAACTGTCTGAACTTCTGTCTGTCTGTGTAACTTATGATGATAGGATTCTTCTGACTAGTCTGACACATATTCATGGTCACACTTTAGATTTAGTCATGTCATGAGGTTTATTTATGAACATCAATGAAATCCTTGATATCTCCATCTCTGATCACTACTGTGTGTTTTTTAGTGTGTCTGCTTCTGTTGGCATAAAAGATAGAGTAACAAAAATGAAAAAAAAGGTATTTTAACACATCAATAGCGGCTGCTTTTAGTAATGCTCTCCATTGCAAACCTGTTCTTCCTATTAACTCAACAGTGCATGAACAGTCAATGATTTTAACTGTACGCTAAGATCTGTTCTAGATATTGTTGCACCAGAAAACTGAAGATAAGTCCTTGACCTCAAAAAATGCTGTGGAAAAATTAACAGATTAACTAGCTGAAAAAGGGACTGAAACAGAACAGCAATGGAGGAAAACTAAACTAACTATTCATTATGAAATTCTTAAAAAATGTATTAATATTTATAACAATGCAGTACGAACAGAGAGACAGAGATACTACTCAAAATATATTAATGACAACGAACACAACCCAAGAATGTTATTTTAAATAACTCATCGCTTGTTAAATCCCAAATTAACCAATGATTATGTCACTGAGGCTCCAACATCAAAATGTAATGATTTTGCATTATTTGTTAATACAAAAATCACGAACATTCAGTCCCATTTTATAACTCCAGAACTACCAACAGTAGACTCTATTTTTATTCAACAGAAAAACACTATAAATAGTTTTGAAAAGATTACTGAGACAGTAATCCATAAAACATGAAGGTTAGCTAGCTGAAGAGCCAACCACTTTAGAAATTTTAAGACACTTCACTCATCATTTCCTTTCATATTTCTATTAAGTATTTATATTAACAATCACATTAGCATTAGCTACTCTAGTTGTCATGCAGTTAAATTCCTCTACCTGTGTTTTAGATCCTGTTCCAACAGCATTTTTTTATAGAAGTATTTGGTACCCTTTGTCCAAGTGTGTTGAACATTGTAAATCGCTCTTTGGAAACCAGCATATTTCCAGACAAACTCAAAACAGCAGTTGTAAGACCACTATTAAAGAAAATAACATTGATCCCTCAGTTCTTAGCAATTATAGACCCATCTTTAACCTTCCATTTTTAAGTAAAATCATTGAAAAAGTCTCTCAGACCTTAATGAATTCTTGAATGAACACAATATTCATGAAAAATTCCAGTCTGGCTTCAGAGCAAATCACAGCACTGAAACTGCTTTAGTGAAGGTAGTGAATGATCTGAGAAAAAATGCTGATGTGGGTCATGTTTCAGTACTTATGATTCTGGATTTAACTGCTGCCTTTGATACTGTAGACCATAGAACACTTCTAAATCGGCTTGAGAATGTGGTTGGTCTAAATGGAACAGGGTTAAACTGGTTCTCTACATATTTAACTGGAAGACAGTATTTTCTAAATATAGGTAAACATATATCAGATAAGCATGATATTTGCTGTGGTGTACGACAAGGCTCTGTACTAGGTCCACTGCTGTTTTTTTTTTTTTTGTTGTTTTTGTTTTTTTTTTGTATATGCTGCCACTGCGTCAGATTATTAGGAAGCATGGCATCAATTTTCATAGTTATGCAGATGATACACAGCTGTATATATCTGTGGTTCCAGACAATGTTAGTTCAGTAGATAAGCTATATTTCTGTCCAGCATAGTTAGCTGGATGAATAGCAATTTTAGCTAAATGAAGAAAAGACAGAAAAATTATAATTGGTCTTGGAGAAATCCTTTAAAATATTTATGTTCACAGATAAATTACAAAATGGATGGTAAAAGAAACACCACCCAGAAGAGTTTCTGTAACAAGTTTTCAGTATTGTTGACAGTCAGATTATCAGTTACAGTTGTTTCCTTTAACGAGGAAGAAAGTTCCAACAGCGACTCCCAGCAGTCCTGCAGCCAGACCCACTCCACAGAACACAGACGGACCCACACTGGGCAGAGCCACCTGCACATCTGTACAACACACACACACACACACACACACAGAGAGAGAGAGAAAGAGAGATAAAAGTCTGCATTTTCTAACAATTCAAACAGTTAATGTGCATTTAAAGATTTGTAATAATAATTTAGGATATGTTTAATTTCTTTTATGATTTCATGAAATAACACTGTTTTATATGCATGGTCAGCTTTAACTGAAAAAGGTTCAGTGTCCAGCCGTGCTGTGTGGACATGGTGTTTTGTGCAGCCATATGCAGCACTCATACCTGTTGTAATGCTATTATTGAAAATCATAAACAGAATCAGGTCTATAAGCAGGTATAATCTCACCCCATGTTTTGGTCAGTGGTCTGTCCAGGGCCGTGTGCTCCACAGTGCAGGTGTAGATATCGTCCTCCTCTGGAGTGAAGCTCAGAGCTGAGACCACTTTGTAGGTTCTATCACTGGTTGGATAATATCTGCTGAGACTGGCTTTATCTGTCACATTGACGTTGTTCCTGGTCCACTGCACTCCGAGATGAGGTGGGTAGAATCCAGTGATGTAACAGATGAGGGTGTTTTTAGCACCCAGCTCCACACTGTACTTGGTATAGATTGAGCTTTGAGGGGCATCTGTGGATAAAAGCATTCATGTTTTATTAATTGGAAAGTATGACATACAGAACAAAAGGCAAATCAGTCCTAAATAAGTGGAGGTGATTTTGTCTATGTTTTTATGATTATATTGTGAAAGGATTTCGTGTTTTACATTAAACTCATAGTTTCATTACAGACGCAATAAAATAATAATTAAAGGTGTTTATCATTTTATTTTATTCTGTAACTCTAAACTTTTGCCTTTCTCATTCTAATACAGTTAAAAATCACTCCAGTTTGCTGTGTAATTTTGATGTTTTTACAGGTGAACTAGCCAAATCACATATAAATTGAGTTGTATGTAAGAATGGGCTTTAACCACACATTATAACAAAAAGTAACTTCAGTAAAACTGTCTCTGTCTATCTGATACCTGAAAGCTGATATTACACTTGTACAGTAACTAACCTTTCCCCACAACTGTCATTAAATTGTTTCCTCATGCAAAATATGGCTCTACACTACTGCTCAAAATTTTGGAATAACTGTAAAAATGATACCAGCAAAAATGATTCTGATACAATGCTGGTACAGTGCAATTTCTGTGTTTCAGAGTTTGTAGGAAAAAAACTTTAGATGTGTACAGAATGATGAAGAGAGATTTAAGATTTTTAAAAAGTGACTGAGAAACTGTGGAACATCCAGAATGAAGCTCTAGTAAAAATTCATATTCAGAGTGTCTCCTATTTGAAAAAATGCACAAAGTTACTAAAAATAGGTGATTACAGAATTACATTAACTTCTTGTTGTTCTCAAAAATATTAAATATTGAATAAAGCATCTGAAATACATGTTGGCGTGTAATATCTATATTCAGTCTATACTGTGTATTTTATTACTGAATAGAACAGCAAATTGTTAATATGAAAAGTGATCCCAAAACTTTGAACAGTCATGTAGATATAGAAGGTTATTTCTGATGAATAATTCGTTCACATGGTCCTTCTGTTTCATTTACTGGTGACTACTTGTGAACTGTGTTCTAGTGTCTTACCCTTCGCTTCTGCAGGATATTTGTAGCCTTTTGCACAAACTTCCAAGTTTTGTTTACAAAAACCCATGTTAGTAACAGCCGCCTCATAGGTTCCTTCTACATAGGAGAAAGGATCTGCAAACTGCGGCAGGGTCATCACTCCTTTCCCCTGACTGAAGTCAGCGTGCCACATTTCTTCTCCGTCCAGTCCAAATATCTTTTCTTTCTCTCCATCTGTATCAGAGCACAGGGTTAACGCGATGTCCTTGTGTACATCTGAGGAAGAAAGAAGGGAGAAGAATGTCAGTGAACACATTCACACACTGCTTTACTGGTTTACCTCTTTATGAAAAAACAAAACAACCAAAAATGACTGTTTCTAATGAACCTTTTATTCTCTTTCATTTGAAACACAGAAACATAGACTTTTCCCCAAACTGCCACTGTGAGCATCAACAAATGCAGGAATAAACTTCACTCTGTCACTCTTTAAGTTAAAATAAGAAATTAATCTTAAATAATATAGATTTAAAAAATCACTTATGTGCACCAGAAATAAATGTAATTCCTGTGAAGAGAAGGTGAAAATCCACAAACAAATATGTGAACTGATGTGGAAAGACTTAAATAATCACATCCTTCAGCTTTTCCTCAGCTTCAGCTTTAACTTCAGCTTTAAACACAACATGTCTGTGTATAAAACTGTCTGATAAATATATATATATATATATATATATATATATATATATATATATATATATACACACACACACACAAATGCTGATACTGTAACACAGCAGTCGAGTTCATGATTAAATTCTGAAATATTCACTTTTACTCACTTTTAGCCTCTGTGGAGAGAAGAACTGACCAGACGAGAATCAAACACAGCTTCATCTTGATCAGTGTAGAGGAAACAAACTCATACATGAGTGAGAGCTGACTGACTACAGTCTGTCTGTGTGTCTCTCTCTCTAACTGACACCTCTCAGTAAATCAGCCAATGGGATTATTACTTTAACTCTGACACTGCAGTATCTGGGTAAGCTTAGCTTTCAGCTTCTCTGGTCTTTTTACAATGTAACGGAGGCCCCAAAACTACAGTGTGACTCACACCATTTATATCCAACCTGTTCTCACATTAGGATTCCTGAGCATAATCGTAAGTATTATGCTGCCTTTAATGTCATATCTAAGCCTGCTGCACTGATCACAAGTAAGATACTTGAACACAAAAGACTCCTTATGAAAATACAAAAGCCACAGAAAAAAATATTTTTCTTTTTTAAAATCACCCAGTTTTATCATCTGTACATTTTTTACAGCTGTTCTATTACAGATACACAGATATACAGATATTATAAACAGCAGCTATTTTTTTTTACTTTCTTTAATGACTTATAATATTCTGATGATCGTACTAATTACTTCATATAAGAAATCAGAATCAGAAATTGATTATTACTTTATTTGATAACCAAACAGCTAAACAGCTTCTACAGTGACAGATAATTATTTTCTGTACAGTGTAATGTTTTATGTACAAAGGGCAAACCCATATAGAAATGTAGGTTACTTTCATGTAATCTTCAGAAAGCAGCCATCATGAAAGCATTTCAATTGTAGGTGACAAAAGAATAAGCAAGTACACTCGGTTCAGCAGGAATATAAACCACATCCACTCTGAAGTGTTCTTAGTAAGCGTATAAGCGTGTAAGTGTTCCGGCTCTTTTACTGGAGTTGGATAGTTTCTCTGGCATTAATTCCTGTGGTGAAATAAGTCCTCCTTTTGCATTAAATACAAGTTAGTTTTCCCCTAAAAAAACAACAAACTGCAGAGATCTAATTGATGTACCAAATCCTTAACTCATATAGGTTATGTGCTAGTGGGGTAATCAGAAAGACCAACACATTACTGCCACTCATCGAGCCTTTCAACCTAACGCACTTAGCTGGCCATTGTCAGTGGCCAACAACATCTCACCCAGTGCTATGGACATGATACGGAAACCCTGAAGGGTAAGAGAAGAAAAAATGTATTTAAAATATTTATTTATTTTTCTGCTTGTGTAACATAGCCAAAACAACCCAGTTTCTAGCTTCACTTGTACAATGTCAGTCACCAAAAACTTTAAAATCTCTCAATTTTTTTCTTACACCACTGTATGAAAAAACTGGCAAACACTTAGCCTGTGAGGGTCCTGACCACTGAAGAACAGGGTAAAAGGGGGCTAACAAAGTATGCAGAGAAACAGATGGACTACAGTCTGTAACTGTAGAACTACAAAGTGCACCTATATAGTAAGTGGAGCTGATAAAATGGACAATGAGCGTAGAAATAAGGAGGTGGACTTAATGAAGTGGCTGGTTGGTGTATGTCAATATTCACAAGACAACATAAGGTGTTTAATAAAGTTGGTTGTATGATGTTATTTTGAACTTGAGAAATAATTTTCATATCACTGCTTTTAGAGTTAAACCTTGTATCTCCAAAATGGCAACTTTACAGAGAAGGAAAAAAATTCTTAAATTGTAATGGAATGTAACATATCAAGTTAACAAACATTTTTTCAAGTAATTTTGTTTCTGTTGGTGACATTTTAGCATAATGCGAAGAATAACTGGAGTTTTCAAATTATGCAGAAAAGTTAAAAATGACAAACATGGAGATGGTTTTTTTGCAAAAGCACATTTTCTTATAAATATATGACTGCACATTTACACAAGTACACAATGACTAAAGTAAATGTACTGTAAATGTAATAGTATTTCTTCTACCTTTATGTTTGTTTTCCATAATTTGAAAACTCCATTTTTTTTAGCATTGTGTTAAAATGTCATGATGAACAGACCAACAATAATGTTCTTAAATAACTTGAAATCTTGTTACATTAACTTCCATTCCCAGTTAAGAATATTTTTGATTAGCATTTCATATTAAAAAGTAGAACTTTCAAACTTTATCTCCAGTAAAATATATATGAAGGATTTCATTTCAAAATGCAGTACATCTGTGTGTAACAATTTTGAATATATTGAGTTTTTGAAAAGAATAAGAGCTGATGTTAATGGGAATTTTTATTTCAATAATAAAAGCAGTATTAATTGTAGTATAGCATTGATATTTATTGTATGTGTAAAGCTTACTCCCAGTAATGTATATCATGAAAAACTGAATATTTTTGAACATGGTCTATAAACAATCTCTTCATATAAAACTGAATTTGGTGCTCTTAACTAAGCCTCTAGATTATCGGCTTCATTACTTGAATGATGCTTTATAACAATGTTATAAATAGAAAAAAGTTTAAATCAGTTTAGTGAAAGGCCCTTTCTGTCAAAGTATCATTTACTTGATAAAACATCATGTTATGTCATCATGTGACCACTGGGATTAGTTGATCATACATACATAATTTCCCTATGAAGGTATGACATTGTTTTTTTCTAAGGGGGGATACTTTTTCATTGTTGTTGACTGGGGGAATGCACATCTACACATCTAGCTCTAGTTATAGCCAATGGTGTTTTAGTAAAGCAAATAGTGTTTGTCAAAAAAAAAAAAACAAGCCTTATCAACCTTTATTAATTCATTTAATTTAGCCGTGGGGTTTATTTTTGGCCCAATCCCATTTCACCCCTCACCCCTACCACTGAGCCCTTAGCCCTCCGTTTTGCGCATTCACATCTAGGGTAAGGGTGTCCCAATTTTTGTTGAGATAGAGGGGTAGGGTGAAGTGTTAGGGCTACATGGCACAGTCCAAAGTGTTATGAGAAAAAAAGAAAAACTGGCAAGATGGCTGAGCGAGCGACCAAAAAAACCCACAAATGTGAGAATTTTCTCCATTAAAGAAATACAATAACCACTGTATTTTCTTAGTTTAATATTGTTTCAGTGTATTATGGTCATTTTCTTCATAAGAAGCACAAAAAATTGCTAATAGCATGCTAATGTCTCGGTAGCTAGCTAGCTAACTTTCCCGTTCCACCTTAAATAGCCTGGCAGTACTGATGCCTGAAGCGCCAGAGTGTAACTGCTGCACTATTTAAGGTGGAACAAGAAAATTTGAACAAGAATCTGGTGAATATCTGATTTCAGCTTCATATCACTGAAGAATTAGTGGTGGGTGATAATAAATAATTGCCCCCCTCTTTGAAGGCATATGACGCCCTAAACGTAACTAAAGCCCAGCAGTGAGGAGCTGAACTTTACCCTCCTCTGCTATCACTGCAGACTGGCAGGGTCGCCTACAGAGCAGCGCTAGTAGCTGTTAATGAAGTAATGTTTTTTTTATTATTATTATTTGAGTGTCCCATTTTGTAGGGCAAGATTTCAACCACTACCCATTGTAACTCAGTTCCAAAGGGTTAAGGTGACACTCAAAAACAAGGGGTAGGGGTAAAAAGTAGACATGGGATTGGGCCTTTGTTTCCTAGACTTTTCTTGAAGTTAGAGATGTAGAGGGGATGAATCCATGTGGCAGCAGTGCAGAACATACCAGCAGTGCTCAGTGTGAGGATACCGCTTTAGAACCTGCAGCTCAGCAGTGTTGTAACGCGACAGAATGACACAGACGCTCACGGGTTAAAAAGTGAATGAGAGGCTTTACTAGTGAAAACAGAATCCACAATCATAGTCAGGTCACAGGCAATGGTCAAATCCAGAAAGGGTACAATACACAAAAACACAAACATAACCAGGTGAACAGTCCAAAAGGAATCAGGCAAAAGGCAGGTCAACAAACACGGCAGAACAGGAATAAACAGTCAGAAATAAACACAGTAGCTCTGTGGAAAGAAGCAATACTTCACAATGAAACTACCTACAAGCCCAGGCTTTAAACTAGACTAATCAGAGAAGAACAGGTGATACAGACCAATGCTCTGGGGAACTGGAGTGCTGGTTGGAGCATGAGAGTGAGGCAGGAGTGATCTTCCAAGGGGTTCTGGGAGATGGAGTCCAACAAGAGTTCAGAGCCAAAGGGGGTCGTGACAAGTGTAAGATCTTGACTGTTATACTGCTGTGACAGGTTCTGATTTAGGGTTTAGTCTTAATCTGGAGCTTGAGCAGGTGCTGCAGGCCTCAGCTCTAGCGGCTTTGCTTTATATGAATAAACACTGATGGCTCGTGCTCCTCTCATCTCAAATGAGAAATCTGTAATCAATCTGTAATTAATCTGAAATCTAGAATTATCTGATGATCGGATCCTTGTACAGAGTTCAAATACCTACTCCAGCACTGAGAACTATCAGAGGACCTGAAAGCAGTGAGGAACTGCAGAGTTGAAATCATCTTTTATGTATGTAGTTGCTGTTAGTAAAACAGTATTCTGATAGACATTTCTAGACATTTTCTTAGAACCTTTAGTTCTGAAAAGGTGTTAAACATTATTTTATTTCATTTTACTTTATTTGTTCCTTATTAACTTTATAACTTCTCTTAAACCTTTTCCCTGTTTTTCCCTTGCCTTTTTGTATTAATCTCGTTTGCATTTTGTATGTCTCTCTTGGGTGATGTGTGGGGGCTGTGGAGAGCAGTCCTTTGTCATTTAACAACCCCAAATGGTTAGCCTATCTCACATCTGGTTATCTATAGCCCCCCAATCTAGCAATGCCATTTGCTGACTGGATATCTCTGAGACATCCTGGCTCCTAGGGTGGGCCTCAGCACCTCTATTTTAATTACAAAGGTACAGGCAGTTGTCCATTCCGTGGGGGGTTCCGGGGGTTTGTTGAGACAAAGAAACAACTGAGGGTGTGGTTTACATATCGTGACTATAAGTTTGTCAGTGTGTAAGCTTCATGAGACTTGTTTGGTTGAGAAGACGCACGTTCATTAAACTTCATTTTCCTCAAGTCTCCACTCCTGTTTGCTTCAAAAACCAATGCTTGCCAGCAGAAGTCAACAGATTTTTTGGCGACAAAGGTGGGAT